ACGTCAGTGAGTGGGAAAGTGTAGTTATCGATTTAGCGTATGCCAGCGTACAGAAGGCAGCGCGAGCGACCGGCAAAGTGAGGACATCAACCCAGTCTGTTGAGCATCCAAGAACGTACGCTAGCGTACAGCAGCATTTTGAGCGATCCTACTATATATAATCCGCTAAGTATGTCTGTCTGTCTGTCACGAAATTCATAGCGCCCGACCCAGTGGCAGTGAGACTTCGGTTTCATGATATGTTATTGGGTATGGGACAGCAACATTATTGATGGGTGGCAGGAAGTGATATCAGCAGATAAGATCTGATAAGAGGCGTCAGAAGGGGAGGGTCACCAAGTCCATAGCGCCCCTCATAGCGACAGTGGGACCTTGGTTCCAAGGAGTTATGTAGGGGTGGGACAGGAACATTATTGGCGGGTGACAGAAAGTGATAACAGCTGATAAGATACGATAAGGGGCTTCGGAATGGTAGGATCACCAAATTCATAACGCAGGTCACAGCAACAGTGGGACCTTGGTTCCGAGAACTGATATGGGGTGTGAAACGGGAACATTACTGGCGGGTGACAGAAAGTGATAACAGCTGATAAGATTCGATATGGGGCTTCGGAAGGTGAGGGGCAACACATCCGTAAGCAGGCTACAGCAGCAGTAGGACCTTAGGTTTCGAGAAGTGATATAGGGTGTGGGACGGGAACATTATTGGCGGGTGACAGGAGGTGATAGCAAGTGATAAGAAGTGAAAGTGACAAATTACTATGGAATACACCACTCACAACCACAGTGCGATTGATGTGACCCATGTATCACGATCTCAACGGTTTCAACACAACTCATTCCCAAGCGCTTATCAGTAACGACATTATGTACGACCGCTAAGCTAGCTCTATTCCAAATGCATGACGTTTGTTTACAGAGATGTCATGAGCAGCAACAATTAACTTAATCACTCTTACCACGATTATCTTCCACCAACAACCTCAGTGAAGGCCATTTGAAGCGCTCTACTGCTGAATGCGGGAGTGCATTTCAGAGCAAGACGCTTTAAGAGCTGAGAATGCATGAAGCAGTAGGATGCTTCAGCGGTTATTCTAACAGGCTGTTATATTCCCGTGTAGGATATGAACGCACCAGTCGGATCACTGGCTGACGCCGGCGCTCCTCCTTCTGTGACGCGGCGGGCGCTGCTGCTGCTTCTGCGTCTTGACGGGAGGGCGCTGCTCAGTTGCGTTGCTTTTCAGTTCTTGGGTGATGCAGAACAATCCTTTCAACAGTGTGCTTGGTCAACGATCCATAACTAGCACGCGGCAAATCCGCGCCCGTTCCGGCGAAGCCGGGCCATGTCACAGAAGGAGGAGCGCCCGGCGACAGCTGGGCGATCCGACTGGTAGTATAGATATCGAGGTAGCTTAGTCAGCTTGTGCCAGATTTGCTTGAGCTCAAATTGCCCGCAAAATGCTATCGTTCACTGACGCAAAGTATTATATAAACGCAGCCTTACAAGGAGTCAGTCTTTCACAGCGCAGTGAGTCAGCAGCGTTGGTCTTTATCCTGTCCCTCAATGCGACATCACATCGCGGTCTCAATGTTTTCCTTCACCGCGCGCCAAGGCGGCTGGGCCGTCTCTTTCGTAAAAAAGGGCTTTGAAAATTGAACTCGCTACATTTTCCAATATTTTAAGAATTTCCCGTAAACGATTTTTATTCTGTGAATGGAATGTCCACCTAGTTTTTCAAAATCCTGTTCATTATCAGCTGGCAGAGGATTTTGAGAAGTGCTGAATCTCGCATGTAGAAACCACGTCTCAACAACTGAGTTCGCAGTGTACTGCGTGGGCGGGAAGAAAAGAGCGTTTGCGGGCATTCAGCCCTGGGAAGGGAGATGTTGTGCAAAGGAACTTATTCGGATCTCGCTTTGCCTTCATTTTTCAGTGTGCTGAATTGCTTGCTCACAAATTGTCCAGGAAATAGTTGTGGAAACATTCAGGTACTGCAGCTGGTCGGCTGCCTCCTGTTACCGGCGGTCCTCCTGCTCCTCCTCCCCCACCGCCTCCACCTGGAGGTGCTCGCGTCACAGGGGGTCCTCCACCGCCACCACCACCTCCTCCAGGATGTGAGTATTTGAGTGTAGGATTTTTTTTCATTGTATTGCAGAACTAGTGGCAACACATATTGATATTGCTGATGACCATTTCAGTGGCAGGACCTGCTCCTCCTCCACCACCGCCAAATCTTCTTCGTGGTGGTGCTGGTGGACCTCCTCCTCCTCCCCCACCTTTCGGTGGCAAAGGTCCTACTTTAAGTAGCTCCGCACCAACCATTCCTGACTTCCTTCCTGCCAAAAAGAAACGGGTCGTTGATGTGCCACTGCGAAAGTTTCCGTGGACCAGTAGTACGGTTGGTTTCGTCTGCATTTTCAATTTTAAATAAACTGAAGCGTTGTTTCTTCTTTGAGATTAATCCTCGAAATTTGAATCGCGACTGCTTTTGGGCAACAACTTCAGGAAGAGAACTTGGCTAGCGATGCTTTGTTGAATCAGCTCAAGGTAATGAGTGGTTACTTCTTCCTTTTCAACCCTATTTCTGCATGGGAGATTTACAGACAATCACCATTGAGCTGTCGAAAAATGTTCCGCAATAAATCAGAGAAATTCTCCAAAGCTTGTTCAGGAATAGTTTGAAAGCAATTATAGTTAAAAAATTACTTCAAGGAAAAATTTGCTACTACAAAACCTGGTACGAGGTCTCTTGATACACTACAAGGCGGAAAGTCTGCGAAAAAAGTGAAGCATGCTCAAATTGTGAAGGATGAGAAGACCCTTCAGGCCCTTGGTTTGTGGAAATTGTTCATCATCTAATCATTTTTTTGACTCTTAGTTGGCAGTTGTGATCTTTCAGCTATTCTACAAGGTTCAGTGAAATTGTCCTATAAGCAGTGGCGTGAAGG